TAAAAACTGTAAGCGTTTCTTTGCAGTTAAAAGTTTTGAATTTAATTTAATTTTTGATTAATTTAAAATTATAATTTAAAATTAAAATTTAATTTGTATTTATAATTTAAATTATAATTACAAATTAATTTATAATTATTATTTTATTCATAATTTATAATTTTATTTGGAATTTGATTTACAAATGTCATTCATATTTACATTTGTAATTATCATCTATACTTTCATTTACCCCAAACCCTAAACCCTAAACCCTAAACCCTAAACCCTTAATTCTCATTTATCATTACATTTGCAGTTTTCTTTATAATTTAATTTGCGATTACATTTATAATTAAAATTTGATTTAAATTTAGTATTAGAATTTTATTTCTAATTTAAATTATATTTTTAATTATTTGTTCATAATTGAATTTATAATAAGTTATTTATAATTACATTTATGAAAATAATTAAATTAATTATTACCTTTTTAGTTAAAAATTTAATTTTAATTTCCATTAAAATTAAAAATATATTTTCAAATACATTTTTGTCTTAATTAAATTTACTACAAATTCAAAAATAAAAAGAAGTCTTTTTCTTGTCCCTAAACCCTAAACCCTAAACCCTAAACCCTAAACCCTAAACCCTAAACCCTAATCATTGTCTTTGCTGTAATTTTCTAGTGCACAAAAGCCGAATAAATAGAAAATGAAAACAAAAAGTAATTAAAATTGAAATGTTGAATTGAATTGTAATTGTAATTGGAAATGATTTTAAATTTAATTAAAAAGTAGTCAAAAGATAATTTAAAAATAATTAAAAAAATAATTAAAAAAATAATTAAAAAAATAATTAAAAAAATAATTAAAAAAATAATTAAGAAAATAATTAAAAAAATAATTAGAAAAATAATTAAAATAATTAAAATAATTAAAATAAAGTATAAATGAAAAAACAGACTAAGGCTGTTTTGCGTTCGTTGTTGGGAGTTGGCGTTTTTAATTATTTAAATAAATTAAATTAAATTAAATTAAATTAAATTAAATTAAATTAAATTAAATTAAATTGAAGTTTGATGAATATGTAAATGAAAAAACAAATGGCAGAGAAGCAATAGCAGCAGCAGCAGCAGTAGCTGGTGCTGCCGCTGCTGCTGCAGCAGCTGCTGCTGCAGGCTCGGCTGCAGCAGCAGCAGCAGCAGCAGCAGCACCGGTACTGATTGCAGGAGCAGCAACACAAGTGAAACAGCAGCAGCAGTAGCAGCAGCAGCAGCACTAGAAGCAGCACATGCAGCAGCAGCAAAAGCAGCAAATCGAGCAGCGACTAGAGCAGCAGCAGCAGCTGCTCCTCTGCAGCAGCAGCAGCACTGCAGGTGCTGCTGAAGCGACAGCAGCAACAGCAGCAGCAGCAGCAGCAGCAGCAGCAGCAGCAGCAGCAGCAGCAGCAGCAGCAGAACTGTGCTCGCGTCTCCCGGCTGTCTTCAGGACTTGTTGAGTTGGACTTAAATGGGAGAACAGACAAAACAGAAAAGAAGAAACAAAAGAGTTTTTAAATTAAAAAATAAAATAAATAAATAAAAATAAATAAATAAACAGCAAATTAACAGCAAGAGTGGCTGCCGCTCGCCGGACACAGCTGCAACCGACAGCAGCAGCAGCAGCAGCAGCAGCAGCAGCAGCAGCTGCTGCTGCTGCTGCTGCTGTAAATTGCCGCTTAATTGCTAGGTTTGTGTTAAGGAATATAAATTTATTTATTTTAAACTCAAATCATTTTTAATTTATTATTTAATAGGCAGCAGCAGCGCAGCGCAGCAGCAGCAGAGGAACTACCCAAGACAGTACAGGCCCATCTGCTGCTGCTGCTGCTGCTGCTGCTGCTGCTGCTGCTGCTGCTGCCGGTATCCCCTTGAGCCCTCTTGAGGCACCTCTTGCTGCAGTTTTTATTTCAGTCTACAAGAAGCCTGCACCGCTGAAGCAGCAGCAGCAGCAGCAGCAGCAGCAGCAGCAGCAGCAGCAGCAGCAGCAGCAGCAGCAGGCGTCAGTGGTTCCTTTTCAGGTGTATCTCCAGCTCATTTCTCTCCGTTTTATTTCAAGTGTCGCAACAGCGGCCAGCTCTTCTCGATCCTCTCCCTTCTAGGGTTTAGGGTTTAGGGTTTAGCGGTTAGGGTTTAGGGTTTAGGGTTTGGCTGCTCTGCGGTCACCTCCGGGCCCCAGACAGCCAGAGACAGCGCGACTCGCCCTAAACCCTAAACCCTAAACCCTAAACCCTCGCTCCGCCGTGGCGAGCGGAACCGCAGCTCCCCAGCCGCCAACTTTTTCCCTCCGCGTCGCTACCTCCCAAACCCTAAACCCTAAACCCTAAACCCTAAACCCTAGGCCAACTTCTCCCGCCCGCGCCTTCAAACCCTAAACCCTAGCTCTCCCGCCCATGGCCATATCCGCAGACTCCCCGGGGCCCCCGGGGCCCCCGGGGCCCCCGGGGGGCCCCCTTCCCCCTTCGGGCACCCCTGGGGGGCCCCCCCAGGTGGAGGGGGGCCCCCTGGGGGCCCCCCCGGGGGGCCCCCCTCCCCCAGGGGGGCCCCCGCAGGGGGCCCCCGCAGAGGGGGCCCCCCCAAAGAGGCCCCCCTCTAGGGGGGCCCCAGGGGCCCCCGGAGGGTACGAAGTTCGGTGTGCTGTTGGCAGCAGAATTTATGTTGCTTCGGAAGAAAGGGTTTGGACTGCAGCAAGAGTTGTAGCAGCAGATGAAAAGGGTTTTGTTTATGCAAAGACAGAAGAAGAAGATAGAGTTATTTGTTTGAGTCCCAAGGACCCTTTTTACCTCTGCAACACAGGCGAGGGTTTAGGGTTTAGGGTTTAGGGTTTGGGGTTTGGGGTTGGGGGCGGCGCGGGTTGGGGTTGGGGCTGCGCTGAGGGTTTAGGGTTTGGCGCAGGGTTTAGGGTTGGACTGAGGGTTTAGGGTTTGCGGCTAGGAGCGGGCGCGGTGGCAAGGGGCTGGGGTTTAGGGTTTAGGGTTTGGGGATTAGGGTTTAGCAGCTAGGGTTTGGGGGGGAGTTAGGGACTAGGGGTTAGGGTTTTGGGGCTGGGGTTTGGGGGCTAGGGTTTGGGGTTTACGGGTTATGGGCCAGCGTTGAGGGTCTAGGGCTTGAGGGCTAGGGTTTAGGGTTTAGGGTTTGGGGTTTAGGTTCCAGGGTTTGAGTGTTGAAACTTGGAGATAAGTGGCTATGACTTGCTCCCGAAATCTAGGGTTTAGGGTTTAGGGTTTAGGGTTTAGGGTTTAGGGTTTAGGGTTTAGGGAATGCGCTCCTGAGTGCTGTATGAGGCGCGCGGAGCTGCTTTTTTCGCGCCCAGCCCCTGGGCGCCGCGCCTAGGGTTTAGGGTTTAGGGTTTAGGGTTTAGGGTTTAGGGTTTAGGGTTTAGGGTTTGCGTGCAGATGAGTGGAGCGCGAGGGGTTTGTGCGCCCCCGACGATTTAACTTCTTTAACTCATTTGCACGAGGCGGCGGTTTTGGACTCGTTGGCAATTCGATTTGAACTCGACTGTATCTACACCTTCACGGGGCCCATTCTCATCGCCGTAAACCCTTTCAAAACCATCAAGGGCATGTACGGGCCCCAGGTAAACCCTAAACCCTAAACCCTAAACCCTAAACCCTAAACCCTAAGCCCTAGGGGCTCGATTCGGGGGCTGGGCGCGAAAAAAGCAGCTCTGGGCGCTTTATGCAGCTCTCAGGAGCGCATGTCCTAAACCCTAAACCCTAAACCCTAAACCCTAAACCCTTTTTATAACTATCAAGGGTATGTACGGGCCTTTAGTGAACCCTAAACCCTAAACCCTCACGAAGCTGGTGCGGGGTAGTTTTGCTGCTTCTGCAGACGCTGCAGCGTTTCCTCTTGCCGTCTTCGGACAGCAGCAGCAGCAGCAGCAGCAGCAGCAGCAGCAGCAGCAGCAGCAGCAGGGAGCCGCACGTGTTCGCGACGAGCCGCGCAGCTTACGAGGGCCTTTGCCTGAAAGGCCAAAACCAAACTATTTTAATTAGTGGAGAGTCTGGAGCTGGAAAAACGGAAAGCACGAAATATGTCATGAAGTACCTTGCATGCGCCGGGTGTACAGACACCGCAAGATCCACTGTGAGTTCTGGCGGATTTGGCTCATTTTTGGCTCTTTTTGTCCTTTTAATGATTTAAATTCGTTTTTAATTTATTAAACTTTTTAAATATTTCAAAAAGATTCGAATTTGCAAAGTGTGTCGTGAAGTTCCTTGGTTCCGCCGGGTGTACAGACACCGCAAGGTCCACAGTCAGTTTGATCTTTTTCTTTTTTTGCTTTTTGTTTGATTTGATTACACTTTTGATTCTTTTTGTCCTTCTAATCATGTTTAATATTCTTTCAAACCCTTTAAAGCCGCTAAACATTCCAAAAGGATTCAAATTTGCAAAATATGTCGAAGTTTCTCGCTTCCGCGGGGTGTACAGACACCGCAAGATCCACAGGGAGTTCAACTTTTCAAATTTTGCATTTTTGTGTGATTTGATTCCATTTTTAGTTGTTTTTGTCCCTTTAATCGTGTTAAATGTTCTTTTAAATCCTTTGAATCTTTTAAATCTTTTAAATCTTTCAAAAATATTTGAATTTACAAAATGCGTCCTGAAGTTCCTTGCTTCCGCCGCGTGTACAGACACCGGACGCTCCACAGTGAATTCGATTTCTCTTTTTTTTCTTTTTTTTAATTTTCCTTTTTTGGTTTAATTTGCTTTTCCTTTTTGTTTCTTTTCCCTTTAATTCTTTCAAATATCCTTTCAAATGCTTCTAAATCCTTCAAATCTTTCAAAAGCATTTGAAATGTTTCTTTCTTTTTTTTAGTCCTTTTGTAACCCCAGAACCTCTGAAACATCCATTTCAATCCGTTTTAAGTCTTTTTTTGTGTTTTTGAATCCTTTTAAATCCCTTTTAATTATTTGACTGCCTTGAATCCTTTTAACCCTTTAAAAGCCCTTTTAAATGCTTTTAAATGCTTTAAAATGCTTTTGAAATGCTTTTAAATGTTTTGAAAACATTTGAAAATGCCTTCTCGAAGGTGGAGACGCAAGTGCTGGAGTCGAACCCTTTGCTGGAGGCCTTTGGAAACGCGCGGACTTTGCGAAATGACAATTCTTCTCGATTTGGAAAATTCATCGAATTGCAGTTTCGAAAAAGTTCCGAAAAGGGAATTAACAACAGACGGTGATTAACTCCACTCCCCAACAGTCTGCAGTTCAATTCGCCAAAAAGAAACCCTTTTTTCGCTCCAAAAACCACCTTCTAACTCCCCAAACCCCAAACCCTAAACCCTAAACCCTAAACCCTAAAGCCTTAGAAAGAGATAATTCAGAAAGGACAGTTAAAAGATCGACGAAGTTCCTTGCGGACCGATCCCGCTGATCTTATAATTTACGGCTCAAGATCTAGTACTTAAGGTCCAGGGTTTAGGGTTTAGAGTTTAGGGTTTGGGGTTTAGGGTTTAGGGTTTAGGGTTTAGGGTTTAGGGTTTAGGGTTTAGGGTTTGGTGGGTGTTGAATGCAGTCTGTGCGGCGCGCGAATCCAAACATATTTGTTGGAAAAAGTTCGGGTTTGTCAGCAGCAAGAAGGGGAAAGGAATTATCACATTTTTTACCAACTTTGTGCTGCAGCAGCAGCAGCAGCAGAGCGCAGCGGGGGCATTTACACGCTCGACGCAGCAGCAGCAGCAGCAGCAGCAGCAGCAGCAACCGGCACTGCGCCCCCCGACGACTCCCCCCCCCAGCACCCCCAGCAGCAGCAGCAGCACCCCCAGCAGCAGCAGCAGCAGCAGCAGCAGCAGCAGCAGCAGCAGCAGCAGCAGCAGCAGCAGGTTGTGCTGCAGCTGGACATGCGGGAGTTTGAAAGTCGGGAGAACTTCAAAGTTTTGACCTGCAGCAGCTGCAGCGAACTGACAGGAGTTGATGACTGCTGCTGCTTCGATGCAACAGCAGCAGCAATGGTGGTTTTGGGACTGCAGCAGCAGCAAATTCAGCAGGTGTGCAATGTTGCTGCTGCAGTGCTTTGTCTGGGCAATTTGGAGTTCACGCAGCAGCAGCAAGACTCCGAAGCAGCAGCAGCAGCAGCAGCAGCAAAACCCTACCTCTTCAAAGCAGCAAAACTCCTAACCCTAAACCCTCAAACCCTAATTCAGGCCCTCTGCAGCAAAACCATCAAAACCTCCCGCGAAACCCTCAAGTAAACCCTCAGCAAAACCAAAACCCTTTTTTCTTTTTTCTTTCTTTTTTTTTGTTTCTTTTGTTTTGTTTTCGCTTTTTGGTTTTTTATTTCTATTCTTTTTATTCTTTTTATTCTTTTTTATTCTTTTTTATTCTTTTTTATTCTTTTTGTCTTTTTATTTTGTTTCTTTTGTTTTGTTTTCGCTTTTTGGCTTTTTGTTTTTATTTTTTTTTATTCTTTTTTATTCTTTTTTATTCTTTTTGTCTTTTTATTTGGTTTCTTTTTGTTTTGTTTTCGCCTTTTGTTTTATTTCTTTTTATTCTTTTTATTCTTCTTATTCTTTTTTATTCTTTTTTGTCTCTTTTGTCTTTTTATTTTGTTTCTTTTTTGTTTCTGTTCTTTTTTTAATTTTGTTTTGTTGTTGCTTTTTTTCTTGTCTTTTCGTTTTCTTTTTTTTTTCTTTTTTTAATTTTTTATTTCCCTTCTTTCATCTTTTTCGTTTTTCTTATTTTGAATGAAATCGTTTATTAATAAAATAATTTCATTTTAATTTTAATTTTAATTTTTTATTTTTATTTTTTATTTTTTATTTTTATTTTTATTTTGGGATTTGCAGAAAGCCTTTGAGGCCTGAAGAAGCAGCAGAAAGCAAAGCAGCACTTTGCAGAGCTCTTTATGGCTCTCTTTTTAATTGCATTGTAGACCTCACCAACAACAGCATAGGATTTGTCTCCGAAGCAGCAGCAGCAGCAGCAGCAGCAGCAGCAGCAGAGCCCGCAGCAGCAGCAGCAGCAGCAGCGGGCGCAGCAGCGGGCGCAGCAGCAGCAGCAGCAGGGCCCGCAGCAGCAGCAGCAGCAGCAGCAGCGGCGCCCCCCGCCGCAGCCGCCGGCGCGCGCCCAGCAGCAGCAGCAGCAGCAGCAGCAGCAGCAGCAGCAGCAGCAGCAGCAGCAGCAGCAGAAGACATACTGTTTTGCGGAGTGTTGGACATATTTGGATTTGAGTGTTTTGGACAGAACTCTTTCGAACAACTTTGCATAAACTACGCGAACGAAGAGCTGCAGCACTTTTTTAATTCTTTTGTTTTTCTTTGCGAAGAAAAACTTTACCAAAAAGAAGGAATTAAATGGCAAACTTTGGACTTCCCCGACAACTCCGACTGTTTGCTGCTGCTGCAGCACAAGACCAATGGTCTCTTTGCGGTCCTCGACGAGGAGTGCCTCGTCCCCGGCGGCAGCAGCAGGGCCTACTGCAGCAAACTCATCAAAAAATACGCCCCCAGCACCAGCAGCAGCAGCAGCAGCAG